GACATGACTGATCTTAACTTACTCGACAGATGGACGGCACTTTCACGGAGGTTCTTTTGCGTTTTCTTGTAGTTCTAGTCGGTTTTTCTGTCACATTCGACTTCAGCTGTTCAATGTTGGCATTTAATTGCCTCAATGCCTGGCCGTGCTGGTTAGAACGGGCTTTTAGCTCTTCTTGCTGGGCTTTGTTTTGTTCGAGGAGGTCTTTGTTCGTTTTAATGACTTCTTCTAAAAGAACAATGCACCCGTCGGAGTTCACTTGATCAGCATTAGCCATTCTTTAAGTTATAAGCTTCAGTGATCGAATATAATCAATCTTTAAAGATAATACAAAGCTCCTTTTTAAAAACGTTCAAGAGAGCTCCAACAGTGCTGGTTGACTTCTCGAAATGAGCGCCAAAAAAGTTAATCAGTTAGAATAAGAAGATTAAATTTCATTTTCTCATCAACGAATGAAATCACAGCAAAGGTGTTTTGACATGACGAGCTCGTGGACAAAGTAAACAAACACTCTGACCTTTGTGTTTGAGCCCACGGTCCGTTTGAAAGCGGCTGTTAAATTGGCGCCAAAACATTGTCTTGTTTGGCGGCAACGAAGCAGAAATATAAGTCAAAGTTTTTCACGTTCAAGCTTTGAAATCTATAAGTGTTGAGGCTAGGAGTAATTCTCTGAGTATATAGTGAATTGATCAAGCTGTTAAACCACCAGATATTACGTATTTGAGARGTTTTCAACAGCACATTGTGCGAACTCGCCATGGCTGAGTTTGCTGAGAATGGGTCACTTTCTAATATTCTCGCTGAKGGTGAAACTAAAGCTAAAAAGCGAAAAAGGAGCATCCAAGCTATCAGAAAGAAACGTATAAAGCGAAATCATGCTAAGAAGGGCACAGGAAAATGACAAAGCAAGAGAGAAAAAATAAATTGACACTTGGCTTACAAGATAAGGTCAACGATCTCCTACGAAAACTTGATTCGTCGAAGAAATTGTATAAAAAAGAGAAACGAATATCTGCGTATTGCTGGAGAAAATGGAAAGAAGACAATAGGGTAGCCATTCAAACACAAAGGTTTGTAGAAATTTTGACTTCATGTCCTGCAGTTTTCCATTGTTTACATTGAAACTTAATTTAAACATCCCTGATTGTCAAGAGTGATGTATTTTTCATCATTATTATTTTCTAAAATTATCAATTTATTCGTTTTAAAACAATCATTTTCACTGTCTCTATTTACCCAGGAAAACAGCATCATCTATGTATACACTATGTATGTGGACATAACTAGTTGTCTTTGATAGCTACAGATTACGTAATTATGTAATCAATTGCTTTTGTAATGTTATTGATAGTCAACTTTCAAATGAGAATGATGGCAGTGACATATTTATATATAGTATAGTCCCTTGTCTTATTACACTGTACCTGTTTTTATGTAAGTCTGACTTATGTCAATAATCACATAATCATTTAATAATTAAATAATTATTTTCTATTTTTCTCATCTCTTGATATAATAAGAAATTGCAGTTATCATAGGGGTATATTGTAATTTTATACTTTTCATAATTAGAATATATTTTGTTGTTCTTATCAGTGGTATCAAGAGAATTAGTAGAGAAAATCTCAAAAAACAATGAAAGCTCACCTGAAATATTGGGTCAAGGATGTTTTGGAAAATGTGTCAAGATGAAATACAGGGACATAACTGTGGCAGTAAAGAAGTATGAGACTTTTGTCACCCCTGCATCAGTGCTWTTGGAAGCTTCAGTTATACACAAGTTTGATCATCCAGGTAGTTAGGTTTTTTATATGATGATATTCATGCATTATATACTATATAGAATGGTTTTGTACATKTAGGTTGTTGTTGAAGTAGGCTACATGTACTTACACACTCTGTATRCCAATTTAATGAAATGTGATATAGAATATTGCAGTGCTGATTCTTTTGCTCAAGACAATTGTCCTTTAAATTTTCAGTTTTCTTTATAGGTTTCACACACTTTGTAACTTTTAATATGCACTAATTTGAAATTAAACCAATTACTGCTGATCGACAACATTTTTGTTCCTTGGGATAAGTATTTGTGAAGAGCCTCTTTTGCTTGTAACACAATTTCATGGTGTTGAAGGTAATTGCATTACGCTATCCAAAGCAAAGAAACTAAGTCTTGTGGAAGAGGTACGCCAGTATATCTCTGTTTTTACTGACATTGCTGATGCATTGGACTATGTTCATGGTAAAGGCTATTTGCACAATGATATCAAAGGAGACAATGTTCTTTTAACAAAAGATTCCATTTATCATGGTGTACTTATTGATTTTGGGAAGTCACGCAAAGTGAAACATGCTAAAATGTACAAGTTGAAAAGAGAGGAACAAACCATTTATCGTAACAAATATTGGCATATCGCACCAGAGTTAGTACAAGGTACACATAAACAATCCTTTGAAAGTGATATATATTCTTTTGGCATCATGCTCAAATACATCTGTTATAATAATGGGTGTAACATTTTAAAAAGGATAATCAAATCTTGTGTTCATGAAAACCCCAACACCAGACCAACATTGAATGTTCTGCGAATTGAGCTATGCAAATTGCTAAAATGAATGGTATGATACATAATGAACTAAATCTTGCAGACAGTATTGTATATTTTTTATTAATGTAATTTTTTTATTCAGGTCAAATAATTGATAAATTGATTCTATATTATGAATATTACACTACAAATTATTGAGTATATAACTTAAATTTATGTGGGATGAGCCCTTGCTCCATGAGACATTATATATTTGAATATAAAGATGTGTAGATTATTTGCTGCAGAAATTTTGCCTGGAGATTTTATAGATTGAGGTGATGCTCTTGTACTAAGACTGAAGTCAGCATTATTTTACTCAACTAGTTACAAACTTCATAGTGTATAGTGTATACAAGTCTACTTTTAAGTCCTACATTATAAATTTCTGATCTTAATTTGTTATGTGTAAACCTTCCTACTAATASGGCACACTGCAATGTTATTGCTGCCTTTATCATTAAGTTTTGAATAAGCAAATCTGGAATATATTCTTTGAATTGGCATATATGTTGCTGGACCTCCATTTTGAAAGCTTCCACGCCAAACTTGAACAGGATTTCCTATGATGTCTGGCTTGGGGTCTGGTGAATACYGGTTTACACAGGCAAAGTGAAAGACTTGATATTTGTTCCCAAACTTAATTGAGTGACTAAAAAAAAGTTAATTGATCCAGGATTCAATGAGAATGTATCTTTGTTGATAAGACCATCACTACCACTTGGCCAAGAAGCAAGTATATTACTTGAGCGATTTCCCCTTGGTTCCATTTTAGATCCATAGTGGTTTGGCCCTACATCAATAAATCCATACTTTTTCATAGATTCAGATAGGCTAGTTAATGGAATATCCAAACTTGGAAACATTAATTTATAAACCTCTAGCAGCAATTTCAAATCATCTGTGTCAAAATGACTTATCCTGTATGTAGTAGGGAATTCAATTCCATCATTGATGCTCCAATCAATGTGTGTTAGGGAACGTGCTGAAGCTATTTTATTTAGATTGGAGAGTTTTTGACAAGATTCCTGCTTTTKTCCATTGTCACCATTAGTGCAAAGACCAAGCAATTCACCTTTAAAATCATCTGGCAAAGGGGTTTCCCTCAAAAACGTAGAAATCATTAGCCTTCTCATTAGCTGTAGTTCAATTGATCTTTTGTTTGTGTTAATACTTCCCAGTATTCCATTATATCTCTCAAAGCTAAAGCACCCAAATCTTCCTACTGGCCCATGATCAAGAATTACTTCTTTGAGATGTCCATGTAGATGCATATTTGGGGTCACTGTTTCCTTACCATAAAGTGTTTCAACTGTATTGCAAAATTTTATTAGCAGTTGGTCAGCAATTKCAATGTCAGTTCTTGATATGACTGGTAGACATAAGTATTTGCAGCTAAGAACAAATGCTTGCCAACACTTAAAGTGATTGTCAGGTAAAATATCCTTCAAGCAGAAAATTGATTAAATGAGGGTCCAGTTCTTCCATTGCTCAGCAGTATATGAACCAAAATTGCTTGAAATGTTTTTAAGGAAGTCTTCCCAGATCAGATGGCACTTGAAAGCTATCAATTCTCTTTTCTATTTGTGATAGGTGCTTTTTGGAGAGAATTTTCTCATCAACCCATAGTTTGATTTTTTTTTAGCCGTTCCGAGAAACAGATTGTGCATCGGATCAATCGTAGCAAATCGTATTATGTCCATATATTCCAATTCTAAAGGAATGCTGTAATGTGCAATTCCAAATTTTTTTTTTCACTTATAGTTCCAAGCTACAATTCCAAGCTTTTTTTTTCACTTATAGTTTTACATTTTTTCATCTGCTGTGCAGCTTTTCTGTCTTCTTTGTTTGTGCGAGGTTTCCAGAGAGATCTGTCAAACCCTGAGTAATCTCTTTTTTCAGAGAATTCACCAGGAAATTCTTTCATGCATCGAGAGCATGCATAAAGTGCAGAATGGCTTTTAAAACCACACTACTTTCTTGTTGCAGGAATGTCAGATGAAGTGGACATCATAGCTGCCCTAAATGTRAGAGGGAATCTACTCAGTGTGCTTTTTAACTTTACTCCCTTCCACATAGCTTTAAGCTCATCGACTGCAGGTTGTAGATTGCTTGGTTCTTTGCCTAGTGATGGTACAATACCAATGACTATTATGTTTTCCCACTTGAATCTTTCTTCTCTTGGGAGGTTAAGGGAGATTTGTCCAATATAGACGACTTGTTACGATTCGTAATTTGTATTTTAMCGATGGTATCTATTCGTGAAGTCATTTTCATGGTGACTTTGCGATGAGATTTGACTTTAACTGTTGATTTGATGTTGAGAAATAAGATATGCATGTAGGTTCTCTGACTTCTGGAGGGTGGAAACTCGTGATATCGGTTGCACTTGCGATTTCAAAGTGATGATGATTCGAACAATCTGAGGCTGTCGCGCATAATACTTTCAGGTTCAACTTTTACTCGCCATAGCATTGAAAGAACAAAGAGATATGGGGAGAAATTCACCATTCGTTCCATCGGTACCATTGGTCATGGATTGAAGGCCTCATTCTGTCGTTCAATCTGAAAGGAAATGGTATCCCTGTGCAGCACGGCATGCATCCATGTCTATGAAGCCTGAAGAGTCTTACCATTCGTCCCGATCGAACCATTGGTAATGGGTTTTTACCGGTCGTATCGAAGGAATTCAATTGGTGAATCGTTAACTTATTGCCGTTGCTATAATATGGTATCCCTGTGCAGCGCCGTATCCATCTCTATGAAGCCTCGAGAGTGTTACCATTCGTACCGATGGAACCATTGGTAATGGGCTTTTACCGGTCGTCTCGAAGGAATTCAATTGGTGAATCATTAACTCATGGTCGTTGCTATGAAACATAGATGCTGTGGATGTTGTTCTTGCGATTTCAAAGTGAATATTTTTCGAACAATCTGAGGCTGTCACGCABWCTACATGTTACTGTGACAAACGGTATCCCTGTGCAGCTGTGCATTCATCTCTATGAGGCCTCAAGACTCTTACCATTCGTCCCGATCGAACCATTGGTAATGGGCTTATACCGGTCGTATCGAAGGAATTCGATTGGTGAATCATTAACTTATTGTCGTTGCTATGAAACATAGATCTTGTGGATATGGTTGTTGAGATTTCAAAGTGATTATTATTCGAAAGATATAAGGCATTCACACGTACTACTTTCAGATTCAACTTTTAATCACCCTAGCATTGAAACAGCAAAGAAATATGGGAACAAATTCACCAATCGTTCCATCGGGACCATTCGTCATGGATTGAAGGCCTAATTCTCTCGTTCAATCTGAAAGGAAATGGTTTTGTGTAGATGATGGGGAGAAGTGATATCGGATTCGGTTGGATGTGGTATTCCTGTGTATTTGTGTCATCATCTCATTAGGGCTCAAATGTGTTTCCATTCGTCCCGATCGAACCATTGGTAATTCCCTATCACCGGTCGTCTGGAAGGAATTCAATTGATGAATGATTAATGGTCTCTCGTTGCTATGACATAGAAAATGTTTCTGATCTTGTACTTGTGGGGTATATTGTTATGAAGCAATGCATGTTACTGTGACAAACGGTATCCCTGTGCAGCTGTGCATTCATCTCTATGAGGCCTCAAGAGTCTTACCATTCGTCCCGATCGAACGATTGGTATCTATTCGTGTCCTCGGGATGTTGTGGTAAGGATGACGAGATATCGTCATTAAGACAGGGATCCCAGACGCCTTTATGAACGAAGCATGTATGGGATATTTAATGGATGGTTTGTTGTGACGTCAACCAATTGAATTATCGTCATCAAGAGAGGAGATCCCAGATGCCTTTATGAACGAAGCATGTATGGGATATTTAATGGATGGTTTGTTGTGACGTCAACCAATTGAATTCCTCATATACGAGTAGAGTTTACCTTATACCAATGGTTCGATTGGTATCTATTCGTGACCTCGGGATGTTGTGGTAGGGGTGAGGAGATATCGTCATTAAGACAGGGATCCCAGATGGCTTTATGAACGAAGCATGTATGGATTATTTGATGGATGGTTTGTTGTGACGTCAACCAATTGAATTCCTCATATACGAGTGGAGTTTATCTTATACCAATGGTTCGAATCGTCATTAAGACAGGGATCCCATTTGAACAGATTTTGACTGCAAATGACTTCTTGAAGTCAGAATGAATCTAGTATTGACCACCAATAGAGACGAATGGAGTTAGACTATTTACCATTCGACTCTATTGGTCTATATTGGCCATGATTGGGTTAAGGAGGGCCAGGTAAAAGACACCAACCGAATAATCCTGTCGATGTTTCATTGGTTGGAAAAAATCAAAATTCAACATAAAGCCGTAGTTCCTTGGAGATTTCAAGAAATCTTTTCCGTCAACAGTTTGRAATTCTTTCCATATTTCTCCATCATAAACGTCGGCCAGCTGATCTGCATTTTTATTTCTGTTCCTCCAGGCTTCACAACTTTGTGGAAAGTTTTCACGAAGTAAATGTTTCTCWAACTCTGAAGATATACTGTTTGCACAATAATACTTAATTGGATAGAATAAGGACTTCCCATTGTTTAATTGCACTTTAGTCACTAGAGAGGAGTTACAAACTTTTTTCTTCCCTCTTGAATAGCTAAAATTTGAGCAGGTCTTTGGTACTTCTCTGTTGTTAACACATGTAAGACATGAATCATAGTTGTACAGCTTTGTGCATTAGGACATACTACATATTTATTAAAGTTATCTCTATCCAAATTTGCAAATCTTCTCATCAGGAATAATGAACCAGGGAATAAAGTGACCATTTTAGACATAATATCGCTTGAGATTTCTATACCAAGAACTTGGRGCCATTCAAGTAGAAACTTCAAAAACCATGCCATACCACTATCAGTTATATGGCAAGCTGTTTGCCAAATAAGTAAGAAATAAACTAGCCGAAAAATGAGGGAGTTAATTCTCTTGATACTTGCTTCTTTTGGTCTAGCTTCTGGTAGTGATGGTGCTGATTCAATGTCATGCATGAGATGTTCAGGTAGAACTCCATTCCACACTTTCTCTTCATTATCTTTACTGTTGCCACTTAAGACTTCGTCATCTGAACTAGAACTGTTTCCAGTCTCAATTTCTTTCTCATTGAAACTGTCGCTGACTTCGCTGTTTTCTGTATTACACTGGGACTAAGAAAATATATATCTGGTTAATTATTAGAATAATAAGGAGAATTATTTATTTTTGTAGAGCCAAAACTAGAATTAATTGATGGAGATGACTATATTTTACTAAATAAATTTCCAAGATTCTTCAAGTATGTTATGCAAAATATATTTTCCATGATTTTATKATCATATTTTTACAATTAAGAAGGCTGAACATTTTGATTATTTTGTATCGAACGTTTTCGAACTTAACAGTTCATCATCAGGGATTAAACAAAATTTTACATAAATGTGTACAGAGTTTTAAGCAGTTTTACGTAATCCCTTGGGGGAAAAGTGTTAGATGGTATGTCTCCGTTTGTCTATTCAGCGTAGGCTGGTAGCGGCTGATTAGCAACGCTTCAAGGGTCTTACGTTTATGTGAAAACTCATCTTCAAACGCCTCCTTAACAGAGTCACCAAAGATACAGTGTTCAGCTTCAACGGTCATCTATATAAACAAACAGATGGTTGTGGTATGGGGAATCCCCTTTCACCTGTACTGGCTAACATCTTCATGTGCAAACTAGAAAATGACATTATTCCACTACATACCCCTAARATCTACAAAAGATATGTCGACGACTGTTTCTCGTCCCGTAAAAAGAACCAGACCGACCATCTTCTTAAATCCTTAAACGACTACCATCAAAACATCGAGTTCACTGTTGAAGAGAATCCTAACCMCTTTCTTGACACTGAATTCACCTACAACGGTTCTGGTTTCGAGAGAACAGTCYACCAAAAGCCACGCAAACTACCCGTACACTGGTCGTCCCAAATACCTTTAAAATGGAAACGCAACACCATTGTTAATGCGTTACATAGAGCGAAACGTTTACTACTAATTGGAAAAACGAAGTAGAGCTCATTAAGAATAAATTCCTCAAAGCTGGCTATCCTCGTAAATTTTTTGAATCCACCATCAAAAACTTCGAAGCACCACGAACCGATCTCSATGAGTCCACCRTAATACCAACACACTGGTTTGAAGAACCTAAGAGGAAAATTTTCATTCGTCTACCCTTTTGCAAACTAAATGAAAAAGAAAGCAAGACCTTCATCAAGAAATTAGTCCAATATACCAACGACGCGTTCACGTTCGTCATCTTATGGCAAACAAGAAAAATCCAGTCTTTGTTTTCAACTAAAGACAAGAATAATCATCCTGCAAACGTAATATATAGAGGRGAGTGCAACTCTTGTGATCAATCGTACATCGGTGAAACTGCCAGGAACTTTGAAACTCGCAGACWGGAACATGAGAATGTTTTGAGTGAAAATCCATCAGAACCCGCAAAGCACCTAAAGAGGAATGAACACCACTCTTTCACTTGGTCCATCATCGGTAGAGCCATTTTTTCACCTAAACGTAAGACCCTTGAAGCGTTGCCAATCAGCCGCTACCAGCCTACGCTGAATAGACAAACGGAGACATACCATCTAACACTTTTCCCCCAAGGRATTACGTAAAACTGCTTAAAACTCTGTACACATTTATGTAAAATTTTGTTTAATCCCTGATGATGAACTTTTAAGTTCGAAWACGTTCGGTACAAACTAATCAAAATGTTCAGCCTTCTTAATTGTAAAATTTAAAAASCATAGGCGATTATCAATATATTATCATATTGTTTATAGTGAAAATCACCCTCACTTTACTAAATAACATTTAATCTTAATTATCACTTACAGCAATAAGATAATTGTATTGATATTTTACATGGCTATTAAAAATTAAAAGCCAAGAAAAAGTACTACTTTTTGTCCAGTTTGTTTACTTGACCCCTCACCCACTTCCCCTCCCACCACAGGTAGCCCAAAAAATAGAATTCTGAAAAGGACGCTAGCGGAATAACAGGAATATCATTTTTTACGTTTCTTACCTGCCCTATAAAAGCATCGCTTTCGTTTTCAGTGGGAGATGATTTTGGAGCACCACCTTTAAAAAAAAAAACATTTTAAATAATTAGACATTATAAAATACTTTTAAATTGGGATTCGCATGATCGCCAGTTTTCTAAATTTACAACTTATATAAATGGATATATTTAAAGTTCTTTTTTTTCTGTGAAATAAATACCTTGAACTTCTTCTTCATCCGACGAATCGTCTGAGTCTGAGACGCTTGTGGCGTTCAATGAGGCTATGCGAACATTTGAAACGCTATCAAGTATAATTCTCTTTTGTTCGTGTCTAATGTAAGTCGATCTTGAAACCATATCGTCACAATGACTGCAGTACATGCTGTTATCTTCTTCCATTTTATATAAWTTTGATTTTTATGCCTAGAGTTTTATAGCGTCGTGTTAAGACCTTTGTTTCTAACTGTTGACCACGCGTGAATA